CTCTCTCTCTCTCTCTCTCTCTCTCTCTCTCTCTCTCTCTCAATTGTGTCAAGGCCCATTTTTGACTCTTGCCGACTGTCTGGACATTTTTTGGATATTTTCTTTGGAATGCTTTCCAGAAGTGGTTTGCCAATAACTCATTCTTTGAGAACTTCTTCTTCTTCTTCTTCTTTTTGGAGTTTTTTGTGCTGGTCTTCAAGTCCATCCTGATTCCTGGTGATGATACGGCCAAAACCCTGTCATTTTCATGGCAGTGATTTTTGGAAGTGGTTTGTAATTATCCTCTTTCTAGAGCTGAGAGAGAAAATGATGTAGCTAACCTCTGTGCTTAAGGCTGGATTAGAACTCCCAGTTTCTAATCCAGGGCCACAGATGCAAACCAGCTTGCTTAATTATAGGTGGTTGAATGATTTCCTACAAGATAAACCAGAAACCACAGGAACTGGACTCTGGCCACCCACCAAGCCAAAAGACAAATTGCTTTTGTTGTTGTTGTTGTTGTTGTTGTTGCATGAACTATGAATACAAACACAGAATGGAAAACTACCAAATTTGCACTATATTTTGATATCTAAAAATCCTTGGATATTAAAACATAATCGTGTAAATATTGCCCTTGAGATGTATTGGTTTGGCTATATAGTGGGATTAAAGTTTTTGCTTGCATTGTTAGAGCCAGTTTGGTTTGGTGGTTAAGGCCCCAGACTAGAAAGCGGGAGGCTATGAGTTCAAATCCTGACTTAAGCTGTGAAAGCCAGCTGGATAACTTTGGACTGCTTGTTCTCTCTCATTACAGCCTACCTTAAAGGGTTGTTGTTGTGGGGATCGTAAGAGCAGAAAAAGTACATTGGTATTGGCTGCTTTGAATTATTTGTAAAAATAATATAAGCAGGATACAAATCTATATATGTAAAAGTGAAATTCCACGCATGCATCATCACAAAATCTCTACAACCACCCTACAAACTTAAAATATGGCACGAATGTTCCTCTTGGCTTCTCACTCCTCTTGGTGCTCGCTAAGAAATGATTTTTCAAAATGACCATCAGAGCATTAGTATTTCATATGTTATTATTAACACGCCCTGATGCTAAGGAGTTCTATTCCCCCTCCCCATCTGCTCCAAATGCAAAACACAAGCAGAGGAGAGGAGTTTCAGTTTCAATTTTAGTTTTATAGCGGTACAGAACAGTTGAGCTAAGCCACACCCAGGCTCCTTGCTGTCTCCTTGCTCACACAGCAAATACTATTTCACTTTCAAAACAGTCCTCAACTCTCTCACACATTGACAGGATACTAGCCAGATGAATATCAATGGATGCTGGTAGGCAGGGGCACAATCCCCCCCCCCTATTTTCCTTCCAAAAAACTAAGGCTGATCACATAGTTTCATAGCAAAGCACAGGTATAGAGCTAGTAAATTATAAACTCAGCAGATGTTTGCCATGATCTGAGTAAGCATTCAAAAAGAGAGAATTGAATTAATTCTCAGCAGGACACACGTTTGATAAACAAACAAATCAATAAATAAAATGGAATCAAATAAAATGGGAAAGGGAATACATCATGGTCAATTCAGCTTGCTTTGCATGGTGCGGGGCATTTTACTCTGAGTTACATAGAACTGTCAATCTTCCAACAATCACTACAAAGTCTGTACAGAAATTTACAAGGTATATTGAATTGGGTTTTTGTAGCTTAGGTTGGTCTGAAAGGAACGTCGTTTTCCCATTTTGCAGTAGTGAAATCTGTTGTTTGCATGCATTCTTGGTTGAATACAGTGCTGGATTGTAAATGAGCTTTCTTAGGTGGCATCCAGCTGTACATAACCTCCGTGGTTCAAGAGAGAGAAGATTGTGCAAGATATTCTTTGACACTGGGGAAAAAAAATAGCATAATTTGGTTGTTTCAAAAAACTCCCCTCTCTTACAGAAAACTAAAGCTTTCCTATTGAAATAACAATTTTGCAGTGAAAACAAAGAAAGAAATGGAATTCAGTGAATTATAGCTAGCTGTCGAGCTGTTTGGTTCTCAGGAATTTTGTGGAGATGCAGAATGGTTTCCAATCAACCCACCATAGTGGTGTCTGATTGTGTTTTTATTTTTAAACCACTAAAGAATATTTGGGCAGAATTTATGAAGGATAGGGAAAATACTCAAAAGAGTTTCTCTCTCTCTCCCTCCCCCCCTCCCCTATATATATGATCTCTCTCTCTCTCTCTCTCTCTCTCTCTCTCTCTCTCTCTCTCTCT